TACGCAACTACATGTCACATTGATTCATTGTAATTAGAGGGATAGCAGTAACTTTTCACTTGACGCTGTTTGGCTTGGAAGGAGCATGTTCTACTTTCTCCTGTTCACTTTATTGACTCATGTGAACCGGCGAGTAGACCATGAAGATGCGAAATTGTCCACGAAACACTTTGGTCACAAGTATCTGCAGTACTTGTGGCCTGTACAGGCTTCCGCTGAATACCATTTGGTGCCCTCACCAAGCCGAGGGCAACACATGGTACTCAGCGCTTTTGCATTTTACCCTGCTGGCGTAGATTTCTGACGGCATACAGTAAATTTACTTCCAGTCTGAATCTGGTGTGTCGACCGATCTGTTCTTGAAGGCCATAGTGAAGACGGTTAATGATGTAAGTATCCTTATAAGTCGTTCTCAGCTTACTGCCGTCTCACCTTGTACTTACAAATGTTTAGGCTCGAAACGAACCCGACATGGACCAATCAGACGCAATAAATCTAGATGTCTGTAGAGGAGAGGCTGCACGAATCGAAGAGAAGAATGGAATTATCGAGTGAGTTTCCTTTTTTTCGTTGGATTGACTGAAGCTATTGATTACCTTTTCGTTTTTAGATTCAAGGTTATCGGAAATTCGCTGGAACCTTTCCAAGACCGAGAAACTACGGTGTCATTGTTACAACTGCAAAGCTTATTTTCTGTTCAGCTACCAAAAATGCCAAAGGAATACATAACCCGATTAGTTTTCGATGACAGGCATAGGAGTATGGTACTGCTGAAGAAGGGCGAGTCATTCTTAGGTTCCGGTATTCATTCCATTTCTCATATGAATCCTTTTTCAGGTAAGGGAGTGATCGGTGGGATATGTTTTCGTCCATTCTCTACACAAGGCTTCATTGAAATAGTGTTCTGCGCAATCACGGCAAATGAACAGGTCAGCTCGAATTCGTTTAGTTTTCCGTGCCACCCTTTACTGCCCCACTTTTTGAGAAAATTTGGTTCAGAGTTTCTCCGGGGTAAGGGGGGGGGGTGGAGATGGAGGGTGCACTTTTACCACCTGAACACGAGTTTCGCATCTGTTTCGGGCGAAAACGCGTCACGCCCTGGTCTCGGGTGTCGCCACCGAAAGTATACTCATAATCCCGCAGATGGAGTGGGCGTGGCTGCGCACTTCATTTGAAGGTGATGACAGCTGCGTTTTCGGTGGGATATTGCCGTTTTGGTTATTATGATTATGCCTATGTCCAGCATAAGAAAGGGTGACAGTTGTCACAACTGAAGGTTTCCCACGAATGAATCCCGTCCCACACCCTCCTCTCTTTGGGGTATGAGGATTAGCTTTTAGCGCCCGCGCTTGTGTCGCGACTGTCAGGTGTTTTGACTCTGAGCGGATATCATTGTCGGGTATTGGGGGTCAAAATATGAAAGAAGGCGAAAATTCGACTTCTACTGCCTGGACAACCTGGCCTAAATTTCAAAGCGTGGACCAGCGAAGGGTCACGGGTGCCTTTTAATGTTTTTTTTCTTCTATGTGCAGTGTCAGTTCTGCACCCCTGAAACTAGCGGCTTGGATTCGTTTAGGTAAAAGGTTACGGTACGCACTTAATGAATCATCTGAAGGACTATCAAGTGAAATGTGGAAACTACCATTTGCTGACTTTTGCTGACGAGTTTGCTATTGGATATTTCAGGTTTGACCGTTTTTTTTGAATTTCCGATGTGAGCCTAATTGTACATTACATTACAGTAAGCAAGGATTTTCTGAGAAAGTTGA